CATTCTTCTTATTATTAACACTTTGCAACCATAAGGATTTTGTATCTACTATATATGTTATGGATGATTGTTCCTGGATGTACTTTGAATATTAATATGAGAAAACTTTAAAATAGAAAAAGGAAGTTGTCATGCTTGGCTTTCGGCTGTCAACTTGATACACCTGGGAAGGCTCTTCAGTGGAGGAATTCCCTATATTAGAATGGACAGTGGTCTTGTCTGTGAAGCATTTTCTTGACAGTTGAGTATGGTGGGAGGGCCCAGCCTACTGTGGGTGGTGCCTCCCTTGGACACATGGTACTAGGTTATATAAGAAAGCACAGGTCAGGGGAATAAGCCAGTAAGTTGTGTTCCTCCATGGTCTATGCTTCTGTTCCTCCAGGTTCCTAGTTGAGTTCCTGTCCTGACTTCCCTCAGTGATGAACTGTGGCCAAATACACGCTTTCTTCCCCAAGTTGCTTTGATCATGGTGTTTATCACAGCAAGAACTAAACTAGAACAGAAATGGCATGCATGGTTAAACACAGGCAGACACTTAACAGTAGCAGCTTGCATGTGATGAGGAAATCAAGAGGCATTCATAGAGGCTGAAGGTCTGTGCCCCTGAGGACTAGGGCAAGAGCTGCAAAGCCATCAGGAACTGAGCGTGTTCTGATCTCCAATGCTCCTCTTTTCTTGTGTGTTTTATGCTCAGTTTTCAGGCAGGCTTCATCTCCTCTCTGCACATGGCCATTTTTCTGCCTTCAGACTATATCAAACCAAAAATACATGAACAATCTCTCCCCTGCTCTGCCCCAACCCCCTCCACCTAAGCTACTTCTTCAGCTGAAAAGTCTGATTAGGATAAACATAATGTTGTAATTGAATCCATCCAAGGGCATCTCCTATTCTGACAAGCTCGGAGGCCTGTCCAAAGATTTTCCTTCAGTCTTAGGATCATAGTTGTCAGAAGAGATGTTTACCTGGCAAAAAGGACAACTAACAGCAAACAAACAACAACAACGTAACAACATATATATATA